ATAATTTGGTTAATGTTAACAAATAATTGTAACAAAATTTAATACGACTCGGTTAATATTGGCAAAGTTTGATGATTATTAACAAGTAATGATAAATATTATCCAAGAATTTGATAAGTATAAACAGATTATTTTTTAATAATTATCGAAGTGTTTGGTAAATATTATCAAACTATGTGTAATAACTATAACGAAACGATTTGTAAATACAGGGTGTCCGGTAATTGCTGAATCACCTCTCGAGTGTAGGTAAAGCGGGTTAAACTGAGTAGAAAAGTCCTCTATCGTTTTGCGATTTTCGCAATAATTAATGAGGAATTGTTTAAATGACAACGGCAACATACACTCTACCTGCACCCGACAGGTGATTCAGCAATTATCGGACCTGTATATACGCAGGAAAAGCAAAAATTAAAAATAGCTTCAATAGCTAAACAATTCGCAAATTTAGTCAAACGAATTTACATAACGTATTTCTATAAGTAACAAATAAAATAAGCTTTTTAATTGTTATTTTTGAAACAATTATTTAGAATTAACTGTCTAAAATGTAGATCTTGTTTGAAATAAGCTGTAGTTCAAATTTACGAAATGTTTTGTAGCCAAATAGACGGTAGAAACGGACACTTCTTATTACATATTTGACGAGATCCTTTATTATATTCTTTATTATATTCTTTATTATATTTTATAGTTTTTTTCATTATTAATCGATTTTTTCACTTTGTTCTTCGGATTTTTAGAAATTGTTTCCTTATTGTTAGTAGGCGTTGGCACAATAGCATTCGCATTTTTATTATTTTATTAATGCATTTATATATATGCTATTACAGATGTTGAATAAGAAAACTAGTTAGTTCTGGCTTACTATTGGAATAAAAATTTATTTTAAATGAAAAAGGCAGAAAGAGCCGTTGCTAAAAGAAATTTATTTCTTTCTTCAAAACACATCAAGTGTACAATAAAATTTTTAACGTGTATAAACAATCGTGGAGATAATTAATAATCGCTAGAGATTAAAAAGCAGACCAAAAAATCTTATCTTGTGCATCTTTTAAAACATACATAAGACCATATGTGATCTATTATTTGTCCGTAGTTTTTATAGTTTTATCTTTATACTCTTTATCTTTATACTCTTCCTTATTTCTCTTTTTTTGTCATGTTTAATTTCATTTTCGGAGTCATCTGGATTTTCTTGAATATTCTCATTTGATGTCAAAAAAATTTTGTCGTTTATATAAATATAGTCTGAATCATCGGATTCATGGATATCTATTTTCTCTTCTTGCCTCATAGTTTTCTCTTTTTCATCGTTACTTTTATCTTTTGTTGCATTTTCTTGTTCCTTCATCTCTATTGCTTTCTTCAAGGCTGTAGTAAAATAAATGCTAAATTATGTATTTATTCCTATTAAATAAATATGTATATATTTTATTGGCAATGTTTATGCACTTTAAGAACCTACTTGTAAGATTCTGTAAACGTGGTTTTATTTCTTCGCTTGGATTCAGATTAACCACCATCAACGGATGACCTGCGTTAATATATTTAAATTAAATGAAATTTATTTTTAAATGAATAATTAATAAAAAATTTTTATTGTATTTTTAATTAAAAAATAATGCAAAATTAATGAAATAAAATGTAACCTCTGAAATATTATACAGACAGTTGTTAGTATTTTATAAAGATGCATAATAATAGCACTAAATTATTAAATTAGGGATTTTGTTTGAACAATATAAGAGCAGATGCTCATAAGTGAATTAAATATGATAGTTTTATAGAAACGAGATATTAAAATAAAAAAGCATTTAAGGAAAGAGCTAATCCAGAAGAGCTCAACTAATTATTTGTACTAATTTTATTAATTAGTACTCAGTACTTAAAACTTATAGTAAAATTGAAAACACATAAATATCACTTGTCAATTGTAGATATATTAAAATTTTGCATTTTTTTCTAAATCTTCAAAATTTTAATTTATAAATTTTACGTATGCTTATTTTATGTAGTAGAAATATTATTCATACTTTTAATACAAAAAAGACACGTCAAACTGACAAACATAAATAATTAAAATTTTTGCTTATATTAATAATATCGCGTTTAATAATATCTCTTGAGAAACGTTAGTTATGAAGACATTACAATTCTAATTTATCAGCACGGTTGTATAAATCAAGGAAACTAATTAAATTCTTGAAACTAATTAAATGCGCAATTGATCATTTATCTATTGATCACAGTCTGTTCATCTGAGGTTTATCAAAAATACATATGCGTTCTACACAGTTGCACTTATTATCTGCATGATGCATAATATTTATTCATTAAACAAACACGTTATTTGACATAATAATATTTCTGCTCTTCCGTATGAAGACCGCTTGAAGTCTCCTTTAACGTAATTTCTTTTGCATTAATTAATAACTGTGTAAATTTTTATTTTTCCAAATAATGTATAAATACTAATACAAACTATAAATTGCTTTAGCATATCGACGCGACAAGTGATATAATTATTGATTTAGCCAATTCGTTTTATTTCTAATATTGTTTAAAAAGTCGACCAATAATAATAATAGTTAAAAAAACATAATTTTTGATATATGTTAACTTTACTTGTTACTTGAACGTATTGCCAAATGGCAATTGTTATCAGCAACACAAAACACTTCATGATTTCTTGAATGCACTGCGCGTTTTAAATGACGTTTATTCAACTTTGCAAATAAGTAGACACTTCGGTACCAAAATCCTTACTTAAAATGAACTTCTTCAATTGAATGTCCCAACTTATATACGAATTCTAAACGAAGAAACCATTAGACTGATAGGTTTATCTTCTGAAGTGCTCTAACTGTATCGGACTGTATTCCTGATTACATATCTATCATTTCAACCATATGATAAACATAAGATAAAAAAGGTTCGATATTTTTATCATTTTTGGAAAAAATTAAATGTTATTCTAGGACTTTAGACTTTTTTTAAACTCGTGAAAGATTTTTGCAAACGCAGGCAAGATAAATGTGCTGAGCTCTGAGTAACCGTGTTACTTGTAAATTATAAGTATAATACTGAAGAGCGTACAATAAATTAGTTACGAAACGTTTTACATAAGGAAACTCGCAATTTTTGTGGACACTCGTTGCTGTGGATATTCGCGATGCATTCAAACAATCCTCGTTTATTGCACGGCGCTTGTCTGTTCTTTATTTGTAATTAGGAATATCCGGGAGAAAGAGGCGTACATCTATTACAAAACAAATCAGTTATTTAAACGTTAATTGTCATCTTAACAGCTGAATATATTAAATAAATTGAATTAGTAACATAATTAATAAATTTTGTAATTCTATAAGAAATTTTTTTTGCGCAAACTATTTATAACCATGTATGTAAATTTTATTTTGCATAAATTTCAAACCATTCATAAAATATTCGCGCACTCGGTTATGGCGGATCTCGAAAACGATATATCGCACTTCTCTTTTGAGAACAATGAAGCGATCAGGAAGAAGCAAAGAGGCGGCTGTCAGATTATTGCGCAGAAAATAATTAAGTTTCAAGATGGGTATTTCCCGGATAGCTGCGTCAGTCGATCACTTGAAGAAAGAAAAAGATTTATAGCCAACAAAGTTGCGAACAATTAACACTGAGAACAATTTCTAAAAATTTTGATATTTAGTGCTGCACGGAAAGTTGTTAACAGTCAAGTCAAACGTAAAGTCTATGAGCAATTTAACAATGTCGAATTAAAAGTGACAATATTATTGAAGATATTGCTCGTTTTAAAATAAAGTAGTGATCATTAAAAATTGATAGATCGAAACCCATAAGAATATCATTTCTGCGATTTTATTTCTCAAAGTGAATAGGAAAAATTATGTGCATTCGTCGTCTGCAGAAATAAATCTACATCGTTCGGAAAAATTTCTCTGAACGGTTACACATATTATTGCAATTGAATGAACAAAGAGAAATTTCCGCAACGTGACAAATGTCGACTTGTCGCTCGAGACAATAAGCTGACGTTACCACCGATTCCCTAATAAATCCATCGCAGTATCTTTCACCCGAATGGAATATTTTTATCGTTTATTAAGAAAACACGCGTGCCTGAGTCACGTCGCGCCATGACTAAACGAATAATAATACTGTGAAACAAGAGAGGCGGTTCACCGGCGCGTTAAGACATTTTACTCGTGCTGACCATAATTCGTTTAAATGACATGGCTGTGTACAGAAGTTCCGTGAATACAACCAAGAGAAGGTACTAATTTGATAGTTGCTACCCGATAATCAATCGTCCGTAGCATTACCCTGATCGATTGATTGGAAAATACGCGTTTGAACTTTGTGTGCGGCTTTAAGGGGCCAGAGAACGTCGGCATAACCGCGATTATCCCGGATTGATCATCAATCTAACAGGATGTGGAAACCGGTTGCGACCGTTTCCCGCGATAGGCCATTATTATTAATAAACAATTATACGCAAGTTGTCACTATTAATGACAATACTGAATGAAATATCGACCAAATGATAATTAACAGCCGTTCAATGTTAAGTTTCGCAGCTGAGATAAGGCTGAAATTAATTACTTGTAATCAGATTATATAAAATGTGATGGGTCACGGAGAAATATTCCTGTATCAAAGAAATATTAATGTTTTTTTATATAGTAATATGATTATTGCCTAGATCTTGATATTTATTGTATTTCCTTAATGGTGTTTTCTAATTGGAAATATTAAAGAATGATTGAAAGAAACATATTTTACATAATATCATAATATCAAATTGCATTTGAGATACAAGTAACTGAAAATTAAGGCTACGTGACAATATATATTATTCATTAATTTGTCCGAATAAATTTTATAGATTTAGAAAGGTAATAGAAAAATAAATTAGAAAAAAATTTTATTTACTGATATCTGCGACTTCGTTCATTTATAATATATCAAGTGATTGTTTAAACACACAACTACTTACTAACAACAACATACACCAGCGATGTTTTATAATAATTCATTGAATTTGTCCAAAAAAGCGTTTTAATTTATGTAATATTTCTTTATGAACTTGAGAAAGGCCTGATAACAGGTCGAAACGTTGTTTCTATTATTTGTCTTTGAATACACTAGCACGACCATCTAGCAACGGCTGTTTAGCTTCTTATTTATTCCTTTGAATTTATTTCATTATTTTAGCCTTAATATATTTTAATTAAAAACAAAAAAATAATTCTATAATTTATAAATAAAAAGAAACATTCATTTTCAAGCACTTTATATATTGATTAAATAAATCTATGATTGTACATTACAAAATAGTTACTTGCTTTTTTTATTGGTTGCCTTTCCGCAAATAAAGATGATAATTGATTCTCATAAATGTAGATGAGTAAAGTATTAATTATCATTCTGGTTTTTTATATGACACAAAAAAAAAATTTTTTATGGGCTGCCATTATTATTTTATCATTTTGATATTGAAATGCAATTATGCATCGATGATCAAAAGAACATGCTTTCGCGATTATTTCCTACTTACGCACTTGTTATCGCGTAAGGTTATCGTTTAGCACAAATTATAGAACTGAAATCATGTAATTTCCCCAAACAAACAAAAAATGTAAGAAACTGAGTTGTATAAGTGAGCGAAATCATTGTCAAGGTCTAAACGATTTCATTCCATTTAAGCACAGACAGAGTTCATGGTAAACAAAGCGGATTAAAACGTTCCGATGCGGAACTGTATAGAAAAAAGACGTGAATATTATTAATTAATTCTGGTAGTTAAATATATCAAATTGTACTAAAATTATATAATTTATAATTATATTAAAAATTTACACATACCTATAAAATAAAAAACGTGTCGAACTAATTTAAAAACTAGAAACATGTTTTTTTACGACCGTTTACAAATTTGCACACGATTTTAATATAATTTTTCAAATCGAGAAAATATTTTATATATGTATTTTTATAAAATTGAATTTTTATCAGAACAATAATAAGAAACGAAAATATGATATATATAATAAATGTTTTATTGCATTAGAAATATAAGCATTAAAAATTTTTTTAACATAAATTTCTGCATACATTTAAACAAAATTAAAATTATTTAAACGTCTAAAGTTTTGGAAATCCTGTACAGAATTGCACATGCGATGGTTATCATTTAATATGACGTGGAATTTCTTTCCGAGTTTTTACGAACACACTATCGCGAGGAAGAGTGCCAGGAGGTAATGAAATGTCGATACGAGCGAATAGTATATAAGATGATCGCGGCACCAGCTGAGTCAGTCATTCTCTCGCGTACTGCGACAAGATCAGGATCATTCGTACTTTTCTCGCACAGTGGTGATAAATAACAAGTAATAACACATTTTTATCTGCCGATTTTTTCGCGTTGAATTTCTTTCCTGACTAATCGACAATTATATTCAGAAAGATGTTTGCTAGAATCTTTGCGCTGTTTGTTTTCGTCGGTGTCCTAGGATCGTTTACAGAAGCCCGATCAGGCATCTTCGGCTATCCTTACGGAAGTGAGTAGTGCTCGAAAAAAACCCACTTTCATTCATTCATCAAGATTAATGATTTTCTATTCGTTTATTAACATAATTATATAGCTGATATAAATTACTTATCATAATTTAAAACAGATTAAATAAACATATTTCTATGTCAATATATATACATGTATTTTTTAATTATAATAAATGTTAGCCTTACAATCCAACTGTGCACTAACATTTATAAAACAAAGATAAGCCATATACTAAATAATGTGTGACTATTGTTTAAAGTTATAAATTCAATGTCTCATTCGTTTTTCTTCCACCTTCTATAATTTTTATCACAAGATTCTTTTTAGTGTTTTGTGTTATGCGTATGCGTGCCGGATATGGCGTAACATGTAAATGAATTCGAGCTGATTGTTAACAAAGTAAAATTATTCGAAACAAAATTATATGTGGCTGCATACATTAAGATTAATAAAAAATTAAATTCAATGTTATGTTATATAATGATAGCGTCGCTAAAAGTGGAAATAGAGAATTGACGATGCTCGGGAATTTCTGAATAATTACGAGATTAGCGAACGCCGCAAAATTCCACGACGAATTCGATAACGTGTTGCATATATCAACAATTTCATGATTTTTAATGAATACGAAAGAAAAGATCTACAATCAGATTGCTGACGTTGCATTTTTTTCCTTTGCGTAAACATTCAAGAACTGTGTGATTGCGTAGGAAAATTTTTTTTTAAATGAGCAACGCGATAATCACTTATAATGTTAATTTTTACTACAATATGATTATACGTATTTGTTTAACGCAAATTTTCACTGTTTATGTAAACTCATTGCAGTGTAGTGACTCATCGTCAAGTCATTTAACAACCTTCAGTAGTTCACGATAAATTATGATAATAGATTTAGATAATAGATTGTATAAGTGCATTAATTATACGTAACGCAAGACAATTACGCATTTATTTTTTACTATTTTTGTCTTTCTAAAATTAATTATTAATAAATATTAATATCTTTATTATTTAAAAAGAAAAGAATTGAAATTGTGATTATCTTATTTTTTGACTTCCATTAAAAATGTGTCATAATTTTTTTGTAAATATTTGATAAAAATTAGAAAAAAATTTCCAAGAAGAGATTAAAATTATAAAGTGTAAATTGAAAATTTCTATGTCCCTCCATTCGCAATATAACATCGACTGATCGCACTGATAGTGCAATAAAAATAAAGTACGTAGAAACGCGGAAGATTATCGCATCGTTGTTATTAGTGTTGCGCGCCATTAAATCATTTCAATTGTTAAAAGCGATATTAATCGTGATAACAAGATTGATGTTCGCGTATATGCAGCCATATTGCTTTTCGTGATGAAACACGCTCGCTCATATGTACACATAACTATACACAGCCGATGGCCAAATGAGAAGAGATAATTTGATGCCTGTAGACCGTGACCTCAATCCGTTCTTCACCTTGACTTACGGGATAATACTTTCTTTTTATTTTTTTTCATATGAAATAGAAATATAATATTTACATAATTTATCTGACTTATGTATTGAATTTAATATAATGCATGCATTTATTTTTAATGATAAAGCAAAATTGAAAGAAAGGTAAGTTTCGGATACAACTGTATTTAAAATGCGATTAACAAAAAGTACTATTTAGCTTTCGTACGTGATTCAGAACGAATTTATCTTCCATACGTGATTTCGAATGTAAACATACGTTATCGGAAATGAAATGTAATTACGTGATCTATCAAATTAACGTGACTACAAAATTTCACTTGATTGATGATATACTGTCACGTAACGCGTAATTAAATTATTATTAATTAATATCTAGCTGCACAATGATGAAGCGGGAAGCAAGTAAGCAATTAATGCGTTTGCAAATTTTATGTTAATTAGCAAGTTATGTTGATTAGCAGATTTCTTATAACTAGAGCTGGTTTAAGATTAGTTTCTGAGCTGCGAGTAAATTAAGATTTTATATTACTGTATATGTTAATTTCATACATCAATTATTTTCTAGTATTTTTTATCTAATGTGTCATCATAAAGCGCAATATTATTTGTTATATATGTTAAATAATATTATTTAATATTTATTAATTATATATGTAAACACATGATTTTTGCGTTACATTGTAATTGTTATTGTTGTTAGTAACATTTCTGGCACGTTTTTGCGTGTTTTTGGTGATGGAATTCCAAGAGGTAACCAGAGCAGTTATCATGTATCTAATCGGAAACGTTTCTAATCGGGATGATTTCCTTTTTCCTAAATTACGTGATAAAATATCTAGGAAAATATGAGGAAAAAGGAATCATTCCGATTAGAAACGCTTCCAATTAGATAAATAATAACTGCCCCGAAGGCTTTCCGAAATTAACAACGTTGTTCCAACTAATAGCCGAAAATCATTATCAACCACACAGATAATCTTAATGGCAAGAATCGATAAAGAGTCGCTCTTTTGTTCTCTTTTCTCGTCTTGAAGATGGAGGACTAGAAGACAGATCGTCGCCCACTTTTATCGTATCATCCAGATCGAAGCGAGCAGTCGACTCGAATGGTGAGACTACCACCAAACCTACTACCAGTCAAGCTACTACGACGAATCCTACAACAACAGATCCTACAACCACACCATCCTCGACTACACCTCCAACGTCGCCTACAACCACCCCGTCCACTGAACCGACTACTCCAACCACCACACCTACCACCACTACCACAGAAGCGACATCGCCCACCACCACCCCAACAACCACTCCCACCACCACTCCAACAACCACTCCCACCACCACCCCAACAACCACCCCAACAACCACCCCAACAACCACTCCAACAACCACTTCGGCTACAACTCCGACAAGCACTTCCGAGACGACTCCTACAACTCCCAGCACGACAACTCCAGAGAGCACGTCCAAGCCGAAGAAATCAACGAACAATCTTGATTCACGTTCGAATTTCGATGAATCCGAGCCCGAAGACTCCAGTAAGAAACCTGAATCACCGTCTAAGGGCGACAAAAACCCAGCTCCTGGACCATACTTTGGCCCAGGCTTTCCCGGAGCATTTGGTCCGGGTTTCGATCCCTATTTCGGTTATCCTGGATTCAACTCTATACCAGGTTCCAATCCGAACTATGCGTGGACTGGCACAAACAACGGGCCAGGATTCGCGTCCGCGGGTGCATCCGCCGGAAGCTTTGCAGGAGGCTTTCCAGGAACGGGATATCCGGGAGCGGGATATCCGGGAGCGGGGTATCCGGGAGCGGGGTATCCGGGAGCGGGGTATCCGGGAACGGGATATCCGGGAATGGGATATCCTACGGCAGGATACCCCACACCCACAACGAAACCACCGTCTGTGGGTGGTCGAGGAGGATTTCAGGATACCACCACACCCAAGCCGA